TTGATACTGAAAAAGGCTTTGTTTTTGTTGATCATGGAATAGTGTACCGAGTATGTGGATTTGTTTTGATGTTTGCTAATATTTGATTGGTTGAGTTTGGACTGATGATCAATTGACAGGAGTAAACTGATTACGGTTTTTTGGTGAGAATTTTTTTGAGTAAGAATTTTTGGTTTTTTGTGGCGCAGCAATGTATACTGAGCGTTGTTGAGAAGAGAATATAGAATATACTGTTGGTGCCCCAAGCCAACAATATATACTATTTTTGTATAAGATTTTGTTTTTGAGAATAAAGAACAGCCCTCCAAGTGAAGAAAGTATTTATTTAATAAAGTTTGTGTATTAATAAGAAGAAAAAATGGGAAGAGCCCCAAGGAAAAGGTAAAAGAAAGTGACTGCCACGGGCCTTCCCTCATGCAATCCAAGAGAAGAGCAAGGTCCCCAAACTTGCTTTTCCTTGGCCAGAGGTTCCATCCCGATGCACCAGTAGACTTCTTTAATTTCCTTGAGGCTCTTGTAATGAAAGTAAGAGAAGTGTGAAGGACTTTTGGGTATTGAAAGGCGAAAAAAATATTTGTTTCTTTAATTTTGAAAGAAAATTACTAAAAAAGGAAGTTTTTGTAAAAAAAGTTGTGTTATAAACTCAGACTTGTATTTTATTTTTAAGTTAATAAAATAATAATTATTCTCTAAATAAAAACTTGTATTTTTTTCTATAGTTTCCTTTTTTCAAATTACAAGCTTATTGTTTAAACTGTTTTAATATATTTAAACTCTTATATCTTTACAAATTAAATATTGAAAAAACTCTTTTCCACTTATATCAAAACTATTATATTAGGAAATTAAAAATCAAAAGACAAAATTTTGTTCAAAACTTTTATCAAAAAGATGGAAGATTCTCCCTCCAAATCTCTTACCAGCAATCTTAAACATATTCTTTTGAATATTGTCCTTTCAAATATCAAAAAATCAAAAGCATCAATCATCTATAAAAACTAAAGTATTTGTTATTAAATAGCAAAAGAAATACAAACCCCTTCTCTCTCCAATTACTCTAATTCCTGGTTTATTTCTTCCATCAAACTAATCTCAAGAATCCTGATTTTGAAACTGTTAAATTCTTTGAAATCAAATTTGAACCCAAAAAACAAACAACTTACCTTTTTAAATCCTAACTTAACATCTCAGTTTCTTCTCTGTTCCTTAAACTTCTTTCTACACTAAATGAATTCACAGCCCATCAACTGGACTTTAAACTTGACAAAGATGACAAAAACATTACAATTCATAAGATAGTTAAAAACACTCTTAACTACGATCTTTACTTTTCATGAAATATGTTTTTGATTATTGTCAATGAAAAGACAAACACCTTTGAAGCCAAAAAAAAAGAAGCATCTGCTTCTTTTCCAAATATCCCAGTCCTACTAGAAATAATCACCTCTATTACTTCTCTTAATAATTCTTCTTTTTATCTCAAATCAAATAAATTGCTTCCTAAAATCCCGACCAGCTAACCTCCTATCAATGATCAATATACTGTATATGGTACTCCTATATAAATTGATGATCTCTTGCATATATCCTCTGTATGATGCAATCACACATATTGACACTTACAGTTTCCTAAAAATCATGCCAATCCTAATATCACACTGTATGGCACAAATTCTATTAAGAAAATTAGTATGGTGATAGATGAACCAATAATACTATTGGACAATGATACTATATCTAAAGAAAATAATACCTTAAGAAAAAATCCCTTCATCTATTATAGGACAAAAAGGTCACATATATGCAGTTCACAGAAATTGACACATTTAGAAAACAAAACTACTTTGCCAGTATATTGTTATAAATACATTATTTCTCCATTGCTGACATAATATTTTCTTTTATTAAAAACTATTATCTTAAAATAAATAATTCAAAAAAAAAAGAGGGAAAAGAGAAAATAAAATAAAACAATAACTTTATTTTTTTTTAGATACAAACAAACAGATGAAAAAGGAAGAGATAACAAACAAATTATATAATTACCTCACATGCAGCCAAGATAGACAACAACCATTTCTAACAACTGATAAGTAATATCTTTAAGTTATTGAATAAGATTGTAAACAAAGCAAATAGAGCTTGAGAAACTGATTAAATGCAAGTAAAATATTTGTCAGAACTAAAGATGATAATCCAGTCAAGTGGCTAGAAGAATTTGAATGAATAATAGAAGTTAACAACTAAAACAAAGATAAAAAGTTGAAAATAGCTTCTGAATAAATGATAGAATTAGCCACAGATTGATATAAAGAAAATAAAGGTGCAATTAAGAAATAAAAAGACAATACAGAACAAATGTTGAGTTTCTAACATATACTAGTTAAGTATTTTGCTATATAGAAAAAATAATATAAATGACAAATAAAACTAAACAAGCTGAATCAATAAGATAACAAGAAAATAGACAGTTATGTCATAAAATTCAAACACTTGATAACTAGAGTAGATCTAGAAGAAATAATCCCAGATAATTATATGATAAGAATGTTTTTAAATGGATTAAAAAATAATATTATCACCTTTGTTATTATAATATACTCAAGAATCTTGCAGAGATTATTATAGCTACAAGAAAGATAAAAGCAGGAAACTATTATAGAAAACAAGTTCAGAAAAAAGACAAAAGTATAATTAAGAAGTTAGAGAACAAAATGGAGAAGATTCAGAAGCAACTACAAGAACTTATATTGAACTATATAGCTTTAAAAAGGAAACCATAGTAAGACAAGAAAATGGGGAAGAGAGAAATGTGGTATGTTATGATTGTGAAAAGAAGAAGTACAGAGGCCTATCATATTATTGTGGACACTTTTATTTTTTAAATAATAAAAAATTTTATTAATAAATAAATTTTAAAAATTTAATGATACATTTATATAATATTAAAATATAATCCATTTAAATTTCATGCAATTTTATTTATTTGTTCAAATTTTATAAAAAAAAAACTCTAACTTTTTTCTATCAAACCGAAATTAGTTTTTTTTTCTTTATCTTTTTTTTTCTTTTTTTCTTTTTTCTTTTTTTTTTTTTTTTTTGCTTTTAGTATTTTGTAGGTTCTTCTTTAACCGCAATACAGGCAGTAATCCAATTTGGCATGCTCTTAATAAGATTATGGCAATATTCGGGTGGTATTTCCCACCACGCCTGTCGTACAAGAACGTCAAGATCGTCAAAATTATTCAGTGCACGACGAATAACGCATTTTGAGACGCTAATTCCTTCCTGAGCAATAAAAAGGTTAGTAATTTGAGAAAGGTTTAAACGGTGATTTTTGTTAATAACTAGATTCTTAAGTTTAGAATGAATGCACTCAGTATATCTTCAAATGTTCCTAAACGAAGCAAACCTATTGAAACATGTGACAACTGTAAACGGCGCAAAGTAAAATGTGATAAAGAACGTCCACAATGTGGCACCTGTAAAAAGACAGATCGAAAGTGTACCTATGATTTATCAGCGTCCTCAAAGCGTGGTCGATCCAAAAGTGAAGTTGAGCTTTTACAAGAACAAATTGAAGACATTCAGACCATACAATTTCAACAGCTAAACCAAATGAAGGCTCTCTTGGATATGGCAGTAGTAAATGATCCAATGACATCTGTCAGTGACGGCTACGTGAGTCTTCTAAATCAACGTGGGATAGAGCAAAATCAAGGCAATCTCGAGATCAATGATGGACTTTACGTAAGCTTATTCATTCATTTTTGCGACAATTTGTTATGCATCTCCTCGAGTCATATTCTTTGATCATCAGGGATGGTACAGGGATTATCCTTCCATGGGAAGAAATTTGGATGCTCCGACAAGTTTGAATCAGATACATTCCGAAGAAACGTTGCATTCTTTTATGGAATTTTCCTCAAAACTTCCGAAGAGCAATTCATCAATGCAGGCACGTCTTAGATACGTTACAATATTTTTGTATACTCGTTATGTTGATAAATCGTTATTACACCCGAATTTATCAACATAGGCACAAGATCCCGTGGATCAACTTGTGGAGCAGCTTAACAACAATTTGACTTTGGAGTCTACGCGATACGTTGGTCCGGCTTCTTTGTTATTAATAGATAATTATGAAGAACAAATCATCCCTCAAAGACAAGATGATCTGTCTTCTGTCGAAGGATATTTGAAAGTTTTACCAAATCCAGAAATTGCAGATAGTCTAATTGATATCTACTTTCATGTATGTTCATGAACTTAATAATATGATTCTATTAAACACTATTCATTGGGTCATTTCTTATTTCTAGAAAATTTGCCGCCACTTTCCTCACCTGCGGAAGAAGGTGGTGCTAGACTGTCTTAAAGAATTGTCAACCCCACAACAGTTTCTTTTGTTAAATAGTATATTCTTTGCTGCATCACCATTCCATCCAGACGAAAATTTACGTGATGGTGGGATTTATCATCAGGTATTTAAGTTAGGCACGTGATAAAAAACTTTTGAAATGGAATTATTTCGTACATCAAGAAGTATTCCTAATGTTAATTAAACAATCTTGCAACTAATATTTATTCTCCCTTCGGTATACGATTAACAGAGGGCTCAAGGTAAAATTAAATTTCCAAAGTATGCTTCCCGATTTATGCGCCGTGTTAGAGGACTAATGTATTTATTGAAAAATTAGCATTGTTACAGAGACATTGTCTGATAAAGCCGCACGTTTTGACAGTTATTAGTTTATTTATACTGGGACTTCACACGAGAACGGTGAATATATCACAATTTTGTAGTTTTTATGATTCGATATTTTGACAAGAAATCTTTTGGTATCTAGATGGGTTCTGCATGGATCTTTCATGGTATGGGAACAAAAATGGCATTTGAATTAGGCCTACATCGTAAAGTCAAGAGCCAACTTGAAATAAACGATCGAGTTAAAGAGATTAGGGATATGGCTTTTTGGGGTTGTTTTGCAGCCGAAACGTAATTATTTGATTTTCAGTTGCTTCGCAAATATTTTCGCCATTCATTCAACTTTATGAAAATCAGGTGGGTCTCTGCGTGTTACGGACGTCCAAGTGCGATGGATGAATCGGCTTTTGATGTTGATCTTTTACCGATATCATCGGATCCTAATCCTGATGAAGACACTCGACTAGATATCGCATGGGCTTTGCATATAAATTTATTGCGCATCTTTTCTCAGGTAGGATATTTGCTGATTTATATATTCAAGCAGTACTTTAAAATTAAATAATATGACCCCCTAGGTGAGAAAATATTTGTCTAGTCGATCAAAAACATTAGGAAATCAACGAGAAGAATCTCAATTTCGCTTTTTAGATGCGGCTTTAGGAAAGTGGTTCCATAATCTTCCTAATTGGTTGAGATTCGAAGAAATGTTACAGGATGTGGAAAAAAGTTTACTTGGATCAATTGGAGGTAATTTTTAAACTAATATTTGTTTTATATTTATTGGTCAACACTCGATTTAAAGATTTTTCTTTTTTGATAGGAGAAATGCACACTCTTTATTGGATGGCGTTAATTCTTCTTCACAGTCGAAATATGACTATGTTTACCGTAAATTCAACCAACTTCCCGTCTTCATCAGAAGACTCATCCAGACTCTCTTCTCAAACCATGTGCATTCAAGCTGCCACCATATTATTTCACTGGCTTGAAGTCCTCTTTAACTTAGTACCAGATTTTTATGAACATTCGTGTACGGCGCTCTTTTCATTTGCACCTGCCATCCGAATATTATCATGGGTAGCTCAGCAAGGGGATAAAAAATCAGAAATGATTGTAAAAAGATTAAACGAAATAAAGAATGAGGTCAGAATTATTGCAAGGAGAAGATTTGTTGTGAACAAAATAGGAGAGGGTCGATTGGATGGAGAGGAAAGATTAAAGAGGTATTACGCTAACACAGGCGAAGAGACAAAAAAAGATGTACAATATGCAATGCCTGAGAATGATCAGTACAAAGATTATTCACATACCAGAAAAAGGAATAATAAGAATTGGCAAAAACAAAGGATTCCAATGTGGGGTGAAGACGGGCAGGAATTCGATTTTACCTTCTCTTTGGACAATTATAATAACGAAAATTCACCATCTACTTTATTTCAGTATGGTTCGGATGTTGCTCAGTATCCGGCGATATCGAATTTTTCATATGCTCCGCAAATAGTATCAGAATCCACGTCACCTGATTCTTCAAATCCGCAATTATTTTACACTACTCCACTGATGGAGTTTTCGAATCCAGAGCCCACCACTAATTCGAATAATAATCTTTTTAGTTTTGATACCACCGATTCCATTTTTCATTTAAAATGAGATAAAAATCAACATATATATATATATATCTATATATATTTGAGCCAACTTGCAAAAAAGCTCAAGTTATTAATAAAGTAAATATTAGCTTTTTATGAAATAATATAAGGAGAGACTTTCAATCCTGGTATTATAGTTGGCGTAATAGTGTAATAAACAATTAATGATATTGTATAAACGGACATGAACTACCGAGAAGCGGTTTGTGTGATAAGTTGAAATGACCCCTCTTTCGTGAAGTTCTGGTGGCGTATCAGATTCAGACATCATTTCTCAATTTATTAGTTACATGCTGTCCACTATTACTCTAAGCGATGCCATCCTTTAGACTTCCCAAGCGCGTTTTTATTTTCTTGCGTTGCTTGTAGTAGTCCATATAACTTATTCTTGCAGTAAAATAATTTCGTATGTAAGCTATGTTAGATTTATCATGCAGTACTTGAATATCTGTCAACTTTTTTTTTTCCCATCAATATCTTGATTCCTGTAATGATAAAAAACCTATTTCTTGCATTTAAAAAACTGATGCTTGGAAAGTGACTAGGTGAATGAATTATTACAATGATTTTTATATGCGCGATCAGTGAACATGAGTGCAAATAAATACCTTTTATCATTTTTGTGATATTGTAGGATTTGTGTTATAAACTTTATCACTACGGTATATGGTAGATGACCAAGAGAATGTGTATGCGCCACCTATACCTTATTGCGTCAAAATTTCTCACATGAAATTACTCTTGGCATCTCAAGATTCGTCCAAAATATTATGGTTGATGATTTAGGACCAAATGCCAAGAATTATTTCTAATAAAGTTAATGCACCTGAGGAAGCTAGTCATTTTTGGTCTAACAATAGGAAAAAAAAAAAAACTTTTCAAAGATTTCATTAGTGACTTTTTTAGTGTTACGACTAGCAAAAAGTAAAGTCACCTGTTTCATACCAGTTTCTAATGACAATACAGTAGAACCTTTATAAATTAATACTCTATAAATTAATTTTTTTTTTACTTCTAACCAGGTTGCAAGTTGCAGTGAATCTTTTATAAACAAGAATATAAGAATACAAAGTAATTATTATACTGTAGCTAAACAATATTCTTATAAGCTGCAACATATCTGTTAATAAATTTAATAGATTTGGATATGATTCTTGAATTCTTAATATCAAGATTATTATATTGTTTATATAATCTAGTTATTTATTAACTATTTTACTATAAGAAAGTTGATTTATTTTTTAACTATTGTTATATGATATTGATTATATTAAACTTTTTAAATTCTTTTAATTATTTGAATGAGATTATAAAAAATAAAAAAAATTTTTTTTTTAGCAAAACAATATATTTAAATTAAAAAAATTATTATTAATTTATATTTATAATTGTTATTTCAATATAATTATTGTGGTTCTAAGAGATAAAAAATTTTATTTTTTTAAAAAGAAAAAAAAAAGTTTATATTGATAAATAAAAATCTTTGTAAATTAATTATTAGTTTAATAAGAACTTTTTTTAATATTTAAAAGAAAAAAAATAATATAAAAAAAGAAAGGAAAAAGTTCAAATTATTATTAATAAAAAAATATATAGTATTTTATTTTTTTGCTATATTCAATTATATAATCAATTTTAGTATATACAATATAAAAAAAATATATTTTTTATATATTAACTAATTAGTACAAAATTTCAATTAATTACTAATTGGAATTTTTAATGTATCAAAAATTTTAGGATTAAATTGAAATAATTTTATTAATATACTTGAAAATGTTACTATAAATATATATAATCAATAAAAAAAATCATATATTTAAAAGAATAGAATTACTAGTTTATTTACTAATCTTAATCAAATATATTTATTTATTATAAAATATAATATTTTATAAATTTATAAAATTTTGTAAAAAAAGTATTATAGTTTCAAAAATTATTAGTTCAAGTATATATTTTTTATATATAACTATAAAACCATAATATATGTTAAATTATTTAATATAAATTATTTTTATAAACTTAAATATTTGTTTTAAATTGCTTTTTAATTTATTTTTAAACAAAAATATTTAAAATATATTTATAATAATATTTTATTGTTATTAAAATAATTATATATATATAGTTTTATTGATTGAATATTTTTGATATAATTAATAGAAAAAGATTTTATTGTTAAATTGAAATAAATATTTTTTAAATTTAAAAAAATAGTAATATAAAAGAGTATATATATATATATTAAATTGTTTTAAATATTTCAATATTTTGTTTTCTATTATAATCGATTATTTAAAATTAAATAAAATTGGTTAAAAAATATACGATTTTTATTATTTATTTGTTTATATTATTATTATAGCTATTGCTCTCATTTATTATTATCAATAAATATTAAGTAGCCAAATTTATTAAGAATAATATTAAATATTAAATATTTGTTTAAAATAATGGATTGTATAAAAAAATTCTTTTATTACTGTTTTTTTTATATAATTTTTTATTTTGAATCCATATATGAAAATTTTTGATAATTAAAGATTATAATTAAAATTTGTTTGATCAAAATTATTTGCTATTTTAATACTCAAATACTCGGTATATACGTAATCATAATCTTAAATATATTGATATTTCCCAATGTTTGAAATAAAACACAAGATTACACAGGAAAGCTTTGATAAACTTTATTCTCTATTCAGATAACTTATCATTTAACCGTCTCTAATTATGGTTTTGCAGTTTCCTTTATGAAATACTGGATTTCCGGTATGTCAATTGATAAAATTTTTTTTTGTCCAGACAATGTACGCAAGTGGGCGCACAAAATTGCGTACGTCATTTTTAAATCATTTCAAACATAATTGGACAAAGATAATGCAATTGATAGGATTATCATCATTGGTATTTCCTTGGTATGACGATGCTTTAGTGGTTGTAAATTCAAGGACAGATCAATAGAATTTAATAAGTGCTCGAAATTAGCCTTGGACCGGGAAGGTCTGTAAGAATGAAGATCGTCGATGCTTCGCCAAAGCTCTGTCGGTTTTAAATACGACTGTTAATTGTGGTCATCTCCTCTAAACATTGCAAAGGTTATGCTCACTTGTTTCTGCAATTCGGGATAGCTCTTATAATTCGATTGTGGTTTCTATCTTTGGTTACAAGGTCGACTGCGATCGCAATCGCGTATCTTACCCATGTTACCGAAAACTCTGAATTGTCCAACCATCAACCTTTCCTAAATAAGAAAAAAGAAAAAAAGCTCATGCCGACCTCTTTCACTTTCGCCCGCACCATGTTTCATTATCCAGTCCAAAATTCGAATGAAACATCGAAAATATTTCTTGGCGTGGAGACACCACTAAATTTTTGTGTAATGTTGAAATTAAATCTCGTAATCGTTGGTTAAACTTTTTTCATACTCTTCATTTATCACAAGACATCATTTCACTGTGTGCATGTGATCAGCTCTTATTAGTAGTGATGAAAAAAAGAAAGACATTCAATGCGATAGTCTCCTAAATTGGAAAGGTGCACAAAAATGTATCGATCAAATCGACTATCAATTGTCAATTCGCAGATTAAGGCAGGTGAGCAAAGTGTCGTGACCTCTTTATAGAGAAACCACACCGGGATTACACAATCAGCTATAATTCCGCTATCTGCTTTTTCCGTGCAGATATGGAACGTGTACGTATCTGCACATAGATCAGCAGTTTTTTTTTTTTTTTTAAAAAAAAAAAATGTTTACATCATGGGACAATTACACATATTAGTGCATGACACACACATGAATTTTTTTTGTTTAGCATCTTGTTCTCGTCAAACATTTACATTTTTTTCTTTAAAACCTTGTCTCAATCCAACATCAAACGAAATGCTATTGAATCAACTTGCGAACGAATTACAAATTCAAATTCTAACAGAAGTTTTGCATCAAACAAAGTAAGAGTGATGGTTATATCAATCATTGAGAACGAGTTTACTACCTCATTTCTTACGAACTGTTAAACCATATTTTTTGTCTAAGCATAGTTTCAGATATCTTTACAACCTACGAACGGTCTGTAAAACATGGAACTTTTTATTTCCCGTGGTGCTCAACCATGTGTTAGTTTATAAATTGGTCAACGATTTTAAATTTGAGGCATCGTATCATACTCACTTATTATTTGACTTTACCCATTTGTTGTATAGTAACGCTCGCTCGTTATTGAATTTCCCCTCTTTTCTACATTCGTCTTATTAGTTTTATCCAAACTGGCAAAACCTTAATATCGATAGTTCTATGAATTGTCGTTACTCCGATGAGACCAAATGTGTGACGCTTTCTTTTTCTTCCAACGGTTACCCAATCACTGATTTTAACTTTACAGGTCAGTCGATTTTCTACATTCACCAACGAAACAATACATCGAAGATTGGGTTTTCCATTGGAAATATTAAGTGGCCTTGCGAAGAATTTCTAGAGAATTCGGAGCATTTGGTTGGATTGCATAATAATCGTAAAGTTCATTTTGTCAAGCTTGCCCTTAACCGAATCACGAAAACATTGAAAAGGAAAAGGAAAGGTCGAAATAAACGTCGAGGTTCGGTCCATGCCAAAATAAATTATAAATTTGAAGCCAAAGTCAAACACGTAATTCGACAACCGAACGAATATAAAGTCAATATTTTCTATGATGATTATGAGCGCAGGAGTCATGTGGGTTATGTGAGCGTGACGCCGTCAGACGAAAGTAAAAAGTGCTTTCAATTATCTTTATTAAGAATCAAGGCTTGGAAGCTTTGTTATATGGTTGATTTAATATCTATACTACCTTTTCAAGCTTAGTATATCATTTTTCGTTTTTGAATTTTTGTATTTGGAGTTTCTAGAAAATAGGTTTTGTGTAGGTGAGAGAGAAAGGTGTGACGAAAAAAACAAGGGATGACCCAAATGTTACTAATTAAAGATAATAAGGATAATCCGTTGTTTTCTCGTCACCTCATCAATTTAATAAAAAACTGGCCTGATTTCTAAGTTGTTTATTTGTTTTATTATAAAAAAAATGCTTATCTTAAATCCTGTATATACTCTATAAAGCAAGTATTATATACTGTGTCCTGCGCACACGTACACTATACCATACAGAGAATTGTACTATAAATATTTGATGGCGATTATTTACAAAATTAAAACGACACAGTACACGCGTCATTCCAATACGGTATAATTGTCTTTGTTCTTAATAGATGGTTGATACTCTTAGTAACATTGAATTTAGAAATGATACGTTCATTCCACTTTTTTTTCAATTAATTGTATAACGTAATTTATTAATTATAACATTAATTATATAAATTTTGGGAAATGGAAGTTCGGATCGAAATTATATACCAATTTTTATATGATGTTGTATCTCTTATGTATAATAATTTCACATGGGGTAATCTATAATGACGTATCATCATTTTATGTGAGGCTTCTACCGCGCCGTAATTAATTTTTAACAGTTAATGCTAAATTATTGATCAGTGCGCCTTTTTTTGAATATACAGTATAGCACAAAAGTTTTTGGACTAATATTTTTTAATATAATTTAATAAATAATTATTTAACTTAAATAAAATTTTAAATATATATTTTTTATAACCTAATAATAAAATATTTTAATTTTATTAATAATTAATTAATAATTTTATCATAAAAATATTATTTTAAATAAAAAATTATTAACAAAATTTTTTTAAATAATTAACTACAAATCAAATATTAAAAAATAAAAAAATTATTATTAAAGTTAATTAATATATAATTTATTAAGCAAGTATTAATAGAATTATAAAATAATTTTTTTATAAATTTTTTTATGAATTCAAAAATATTTTTTTTTGATTTTAATTTATCTTTTAAAAATATTTTTATTTAAAAAATTATAATTTCCAACCATAATTTATACAGTATATAAATTTATATATAAAAATCTAATTAATAATTTTTTACTTTTTTTTTTTTTATTTAAAATAACATTTTTATAATAAAATTATTAATTAACTATTAATAAAATTTGAATATTTTTATTATTAGGTTTTAAAAAATATATATTTAAAGTTTTATATATAAGTTAAATAATTATTTATTAAATTATATTAAAAAATATTAATTCAAAAACTTTTGTGTCACACTATATATAAAGGGTAGACAAAAGTTTATGGACAATTTTAAAAATTAAAAATTAAATTAAATTAATAAAAAATTAATAAATAAAAAATATATTTAAAATTTTTAAAAACTAAACTTTTAAATAAAAAAATTTAAAAAAAAATTATATAATAGTTTTTGAGAAAAAAAATTTAAAAAATTTTTAAATTTCTTATTTAATAGCTATAATATATAAAAAAAAATATTTTTTTATATTAATTTATGTTTTATTGATTTATAGATATCTATATAACTAATTATATTTTTTTTAATATTTTATAATCTCCTTTTAGTTACAATATAAGCTGTAATATAACATAGTATACTCTTAATCAATTGTTTGCAATATGCCAAATCGATTTTATTCTAACATTTTAAAATACAATCCTTAAACTATATTAAATTATTAGATTTGGTCTCGCAAATCCAAACTTTAATATAATGTTAAAGATTTTTGATCGGGTTAAGATCTGAACTTTAAGAAGGCCAGTCCATAACCCAAATATTTTTATCAGCAAAAAACTTTTTCGTAATTTTCATGATGTATGGTCTTATATTATTATATTGAAATCAGAGACAGCCACTATGATTCTAATTAGTTCTATTGAAATTTTGAAGGGTTGACAAAAGATAATCTTAAAGAGTTGTAATATATGACTTTGCTATAAGGAAAAAAAAATAAGAGATAAGTTTAATTTTTTTTTTATCTAATAAACTAATTTTATTTTACCTTTAACCAAAGTATAAAGAGAAACAAAAGAATCAACACTGAATTATAAAAAACACCTCAATACATATGGCTTGGGCTATAGTTAACAGTGACAGAAAGGTATTTAGCATTTTATTCTTTGCATGGATTATATTAAATATAATATTTATTCCTTTATTGAAATTGAGTAAATATAGATTTGTTGCTTCAGACTACTTTTTTGAAGTTTCGAATGGTCCATCTTTATATATAAGGTACCAGGTAAGTTAGTCTTTAATATTTTTTTCTGAAAGGAAGGGCTTGGGATAAGTGATATAGCTTTTTAACTATTCTTTATACAAGATTCGACAAATGATTTTTTTAGATACTTTGATTTCTATTTTGGCTATAAAAAAATTGATTAGTTTTGTAGCAGTAATATGTTTGCTATCCTTTTTGTCAATAAAAAGTTTTTTGAGAGTGGTACAAGCACACTTATTGAGGAGTTGTGATCGTTCCGATTATTCCGATCATCACATTTTTGATTCCGTGAATCCAGTTTCAATAAAATGCTTTATAACATTACCTACTATACTTTTTTTATATCTAATATTGGCTACGATATTATGATAAGTATCTTTTTTTTATAATCATAAATTATGGCTACTTTTTGTTCAAAAGTTAATTTTTTATTAGCAGGTATTAGCGATTATATAAAAATTGAAGTGAATTTTAAGTAAATAAAAAAAAAAATTTTTTTATATAATAATATATTTTTATAAATTGAATATATTATACTTATATATTAAGTATATTTTTATTAAAAAGTTGTTCATAAACTTTTGTCCACTCTCTATATATAAAATATAAAACAAAAATAATTAAAAAAATAAATATATATATATTTGAAAATATAAAAAGTAAAAATATATAAAAAAATTTTTTAAATATATTAATTAAATTATAATTAAAAAGAAATAAAATTTTAAAATTAAAATTTTTTTTGTTAATTATAAAAAAACTATAATATTACTTGTTAAAATTATTTCAATATATAAAATTATTAAATATAAATTAATAAACTTTAAAATAGTTTTATTATAATTTTAATATTAATAAAATTTTTTTTAAAAAAATTTTTTTTTTTAATTTAATATTAAACTACTTATTTTTTATACTAATTTAATAAATAATATTTAAATATTTTTAATATTTTATTAAATTATAATATAATTTTTAATAGTTAATTAATAATTAATAATTTTTTTATATTTTTATTAAATATATTTTTTAATTTTAATTAATATTTTTTATAAAATTATTATAAAATTTATTAATATAATAAAACTATTTCTTTAAATATACTTACTATATTTCTACTCTTTAATATATAGTTAAACTTGATCTCAAGTACATAAAATATTTAATAAAATTATCTTTCTAAATATACATTCTCTTTAAATATATATTCTTTCTAAATACTTATATCTCTAAATATATATTTTTTTAAAAATTTTATTATAGTTTCAAAAAAAATATATTTAGAAACAGTTTATTTTTTTATTTTTTTTTTTTTATTTTTTTTTTTTTACGCCTAATCAGGCCATATATTTCAAGTTTATTTACGTATGC